TATAAACTACCTCTCAATCATCCTCTTCAAAGTTTTAAAACTAGAAAAGGTAGATTAGAAGTCAATTATGGGATGAAAATGGCACGAAAAAATTGGACCTAATAAAATCGTAGGACCTACACATATTGCCCAATTAGGCGTGATCTATGGTCCTCCTACAATTTCATCCCGTTTCTTCGTCATGTGAGTAAGTACCCATAAATAAAAACAGTTCATTGGGTTCACACTTGGGTAACAGGGCAATGCAAGCTGTGTTTGTCTCTTTAAACTTTAAAGATTCCAAAAGGGCAGTGGGTTGTTAGTTGGATTCATGAAATATTGGCCACATCACTGCCCTTGCTGCTGAATTAGGGGCACTCAGGAATGGCCTAAATATTGCAATTAACTTCCATTTCCAGAATGCCATCGTGGAGACAGATTGTCAGGTTGCATTTTTTACTTCTAGCTGGTGCACCTAACCTATTCCATCCTCACAGTATCTTGATTATGGACTGCAGAGACCTTTTGGGCATGAATTCTCAAACCCAGGTGAAGCATGCGCTGAGGGAGAGCAACACAGCTGCTGATGCAATTGCAAAGAAAGGGTTCACGCCTCACATGTCCTTCACATTTTGTGTGTGATGTTTCTCTGATGTGGACTTTTTGTGTGTTGTGGATCATGAAGGGATTGGTTATCTCAGACAATAAGTGTGTTTTAAAATATGAAATTCAACTATTTCAGTTTTACCTGTATGTTAAAAATATGACTATGATACTAAAATTATTAAATTATTTTTAATAAAAAACAAACAAACAGACAAATAAACAGGTTAGGACAGTTTAATTACCAATAAAAACAAAAAAGCGTTAATTTGCCAACCCATATTTCAAAATGCCTTTAAAATTTGGCAAAAATTCTTTTTAAACCCCTAAACTTATTTTAAAATGACATTTAAACTCCTAAACTAAAAATGAAATAAATAAATCCTTCAACTCTACAAATGATATAAATAAAATTTTTTTATAAATAAGTCAAATAGTATTTCATATTTAATATTATTTTAAAAGTATAAATATCTATAAATAAAAAAAAATTTATTTGTATAACAAGTGGAATTAGAGGGTTTATCTTTTTTATTTTTAATTTAAGAGTTTAAATACTATTTTTGAATAAATTTGAGGGTTCAAGAAGGATTTTTGCCTTTGAATTTTGAGACCGAAGGGGAAAATACTAATAAAAGCAGTTGCATAGACATAACCTCCTCCTCTGGAGTTGCCCAGTCTCTCTCTAGCCTCGCCGGTCACCAACAACAAAAAGTAAGTCAGTAATGGCGGATGAAAGGGGAAATGTGGTGCTGTTTCCATTCATGGCGCAAGGCCATATCTTCCCTTTCCTCGCCCTTGCCCTCCATATAGAGAAAACCACCAACTACACCGTCACCTTGGTTAACACCCCTCTCAACATCGCCAAGCTCCGCTCCTCTCTTCCCCCCCACTCCTCCATCCGGCTCCTTCAACTCCCCTTCAACAGCTCCGACCATGGCCTCCCTCCTGATTCCGAGAACTGTGATGTTCTTCCTTATAACCTCGTCATCCGCCTTCTCGAAGCTTCCATTTCCCTCAGGCCCGCTTTCAAAGACCTTGTCGCCAATCTCATACGCCAACAGAACGGCCGTCGACCGATTTGCACCATCGGAGATATCTTTTTTGGGTGGGCCGCTGCTGTTGCTCAGGAGCTCGGGGTCTTTCACGCGGTATTTAGTGGGGCCGGTGGGTTTGGGTTGGCGTGTTATTACTCCGCTTGGACGCATCTGCCCCACCGGAAAGCGAAGGAAGATGAGTTTTTGTTACCAGGTTTTGAGGAAGCGTCGAAAATTCACCGGACCCAGTTGCCTCTGAGCATGTTGGAGGCCGACGGGACCGATCTCTGGTCGGTTTTCCAGTGGAAGAATTTACCGGAATGGGTGAAATCCGGCGCAATTTTGTTCAATACGGTGGAGGAATTCGACCGGATTGGAATGTCGTACTTCGAGCGAAAGCTTAGCCGGCCTGTGTGGGCCGTTGGACCGATTCTATTATCCACGGAAAGCAGAGCACGGGCTGGAAAAGGAGGAATCTCGCCGGAGACATGCCGGAAATGGCTAGACACAAAGCCTCCAAATTCAGTGTTATACATATCCTTTGGATCAATGAACACAATTTCTTCGTCTCAGATGATGCAATTAGCCAGGGCTTTGGAGGTCAGCGGCAAGAACTTCATCTGGGTCATCAGGCCGCCGATTGGGTTTGACATAAACTCGGAATTCAGAGGAGAAGAATGGCTGCCGGAAGGGTTCGAGGAAAGAATCAGAGAATCAAACAAGGGATTGCTAATCCTTAAATGGGCACCTCAAGTTGAAATTTTGTCCCATGAGTCAGTCAGTGCATTTCTAAGCCACTGTGGATGGAACTCCGTTCTTGAATCTCTTAGCCATGGGGTGCCATTGCTGGGGTGGGCCATGGCGGCGGAGCAGTTCTTCAATGTGAAGTTCTTGGCGGAGGAGGTGGGTGTCTGCGTAGAGGTGGCAAGAGGGAAGAGCTGCGAGATCAACCATGAAGATGTGGCGGAAAAGATTGAGATGGTGATGAATGACACCATGAGAGGTAAAGAGATCAGAATGAAGGCTTTGAAAGTGAAGGAGATGATCAAGAAGGCCATGAATGATGAGGAAGGATTCAAGGGTTCTTCTGTGAAAGCCATGGATGACTTCTTCAAGACTGCCATGTCAACCAGGGAAAATGGAGGGATCAAACAAAATGGTAGGGCTGAGAATGTACTCGTGATCTAATGGTAACTTCCTTTTTTGTAAAAGATATTTCATATTAAGTTTAGTAGGCATGTAATTTAAATTCCGCTCTTATAGATTCGTAGGATTTTAATCTAATGGTATTGATCTTAAATTAATGAGATTATATTCATAAATTATAATTTTAAATCTTATAAAATTTTTTTTTAATTTTTTACTCTCTTTTCGATTGTACTCATGTTAAAAAAAAAAAAAAAAAACTCACTCTTATAAAAGGTATTTCAT